CCCCACTCACCCGCCAGTGTAGGTCCCACCACAGATGCCACACTCTTGCACAGACAGACAATGCCCAGCGAGGCAGGAAGCAGAGACAGGCCCAGCTGTTCCACAAGGATCACACTCTGTAGTGGCGGGAACGCACCTGGGGACATACAGAAAGCAGAATCCTTGACCTAGATATGCACGGTATTGGGTCATCTATCTGGGAAACATCTTTGGCCTACAGCAAAGGTGAGGAAGGCCCGGTGCTATTTAATGACATGGCAATAAGACCAAAGCAATAATTATATTAGTATTGACTTACTTACCTTCAGCATATAGCAAATGTCGGGTATCATAATTCAATTTTAATAACAAGGCGATACTGCCGTATACTTTAATTATATTGTCTTACTTGCCTAGGAAAAGTCTTTGGCATACAGCACATGTTCAGTATTATCTACTTTTTATAACATTGCTATAGGACTAAAGGAATAAGTACACTGCCTTACTCCTGCGAGATGAGATGTCTAAGGAGAGCCACCAACAAAACCAGACGGGACATGGTCAGAAACAACAAGATCAGAGATATGATGGGAACAACACCTATCCTCCAATACATTCGAAGGTAAACAATCTGGTGATTTGGACATCCACAAGTATGGCACCTCACCAGCTTACCAGTAAAGCCTACTACAAAAGAATATCAGGGTACAAGGCAAGAGGAAGACCAAAAAAGACCTGGATCGAGGGTGTGAAGGGTACCCTGAGAACATACATTATCCAACCCAGCCAGGCCATCCAACTTGGTAGAGACAGGAAGCTCTTTCTCCCTTCAACGCCCCAGAGGAACAAGAGGACGTAAAGTCAAGGAAAAGAAAGTCAAAGAAGATAAAGTCAAGGAAGAGAAAGTCAGGGAAGATAAAGTCGAGGAAGATAAAGTCAAGGAAGAGAAAGTCAGGGAAGATAAAGTCGAGGAAGATAAAATCAGGGAAGATAAAGCCAATGAAGATAAAGTAAATGAAGAGAAAGTCGGGGAAGATAAAGTCGAGGAAGATCAAGTCAAGGAAGAGAAATCAGGGAAGATAAAGCCAATAAAGATAAAGTAAATGAAGAGAAAATCAGGGAAGATAAAGTCGAGTAAGATAAAGTCAAAGAAGTTCTCACCCAGGAAGAAGCCGTGGCAGACTGCGAAGGTGAGCAGTGTGGGGTAGGTGGTGCATGCAGGCAGGAAGTAACAGGCCAGCCCGGCCAGGAAGGTGCCCGTGTTGTAGATCCGCACTGAGCCCACCTTGAGGTAAGCCAGGAACCCCGCCACTAACCTGCCCACGGTGTTGGCGATACCTGCACGGAGATTGAAACAGTAGTACATGTCATATACCTGCACAGAGATTGAAACAGTAGTACTTAGTACGTGATATGTCTCCGCAAAACCCTTAACATCACAAGACGAGACAGGAAGAGAAATGGAGAATTAAGAGCAGCTATCGGCACTGAGTCTTGCCTGCTTTTACATAGAGAGACAGAATAAAATGGTTTGGCCACCTGTTACGCATGTCACCTGACCAGCCAGCCTCGAGAGCCTACAAAACCAAGCACTCAGGCTATAAAGGAAGAGGAAGGCCAAGCAAAAGGTGGATCGAGGGTGTCAAGGAAACCCTGAGAAAACATAACATCATAACTGAAAGAGCTGCGGAGCTGGCCTACCATAGAAAACTGCATCTCCCCTCGATGTTTAACGGCAACAGAGGATGAAAAAGTAAAAGTAAAGTTAGTACATGTAGTAACAGTAGCTTCACCACAGTATTGGCCGTACCTAGGCGGAGATTGAAACTGTAGTACTTATAGTTGCTTTACCAGAGCAAGAATTGATGACGCAATTATACTCACCTAGAACAGACACAACGGTGGCGGCAGACGTCTGATCCAGGCCCAGGCTGAGCGTGTAGGAGGGTGTGAACATGGCGGGAATGCTGGCGGCCACCTGGATGAGGAACGCGCCGACACAGAACAGGTCAAAGCCCGCCAGTCTCAGCAGGGACAGGGGACTCACGCGGGCCGTGACGTCAGGCGCTACAACAACCTTCTGGTCGACCGAGAGGTGTGAGTGAGTGCATGATGTATTCAAGGATTTTGCTCTCAGAGACTGCAGGGACCGGGAGCGTAGAGAGGCGATAGACAGAGAGGACACGCTGATGCATTCTGGGGGAATGTGTAGGAGATCGCTAGGGAGGTTGTTTAGAAGTTCATTGTTGGACGTGTCCTGTAGACTGCCGTGGTGCGTATGTGGTTTGTGGTGGTGGGAGTGGTGTTGAAGGATCTGCTGCGCCATCTGTTGGTGGTGATTTGTTGAAGGTAGGGGGTCATTGACCCCATCTTTGTTGCTGCTGCCACTAAAACCACGAGGGTACTTGGAACCTTCCAGGAGCAGATTCTTGTCGTTTTGGTCTTTTCCCAGCAGAGTCTGCTCTATGTGTGGGGTCTGTGTAGATGTCAACACAGGCACGTTATAGTTTGAGCCTTGACCTTGACCTGTGCCAAGGTCACACTGCTCGGACGGACACGTCTTCCCCACAGTGACGTCACCCCAACCGTCCGGACAAACTCTGGTCTCGCCAACGACCAAACACTCCTCTCCCTCCGACACCCCCCCACTGTCTGAACACCCCACCTCCTCCTCCCCGTCCGCCGTCTTGACGTGACTCCCCCCTAGCGGCCTCATGAGGCTGGCACAGACACACAGGTGGAGGTACACCGCGGCGATGATGAGATAGCAGCCCCGCCAGCCGTACTCCGAGATGAGGAGGTCGATGAGGATGGCGAGGACGAGCAGACCCAGGCCCGAGCCTGAGGTGGCCACGCCCACAACCACACCCCTTTTCTTGTGGAAGTAGCGGTTGATGGTGGTGATGGAGGGTAGGTAGATGAGGCCAATACCCACGCCTGGGGGGGGGAGGGGGGATACAGACAATGTAATAATAGATAAAGTAGCGGTTGATGGTGGTGATGGAGGGGGGGGATACAGACAATGTAATAATAGATAAAGTAGCGGTTGATGGTGGTGATGGAGGGTAGGTATCGATGGGAATTACAGCCGGTCAGTTCTACAAACCACCAGCCGCCCCTGGTTAAGGAACCCAACAACAGAAGCTCACAAAGTCTGTGTATCTTACATTTGTGCATCAATACAGTTTGTCAATTTGTTTATATCCCATTTTAAAATACAAAGTAGG